GGTAGTATTTGCAAGAGTTAGACAGCTCGGAATGTAGGGGTATCGCCAATAGAACAAGCGTTCGCTACGTATAGGCCAGGGTGTTCGAGTGTATGAAAACCAGCTTGAATACCTCAGTTTTGTGAAAATCGGGTTTGTATCTGTAGACTACAATGTTTTCTATCGAAATACCAATTTATGGCTGTTTCGGGTAGTATTTGCAAGAGTTAGACAGCTCGGAATGTAGGGGTATCGCCAATAGTACAAGCGTTCGCTACGTATAGGCCAGGTGTTCGAGTGTATGAAAACCAGCTTGAATACATCAGTTTTTGTAACAATCGAGCTTGTATCTGTAGACTACAATGTTTTCTACCGAAATACCAATTTATGAACCTATCGGATAGTATTTGCAAGAGTTAGACAGCTCGGAATGTAGGGTATCGCCAATAGCAAGCGTTCGGTACGTATAGGCCAGGTGTTCGAGTGTATGAAAACCAGCTTGAATACCCTCAGTTTTGTAAAAATCGTGTTTGTATCTGTAGACTACAATGTTTTCTATCGAAATTCGAATTTATGGCTGTTTCGGGTAGTATTTGCAAGAATTAGACACCTCGGAATGAAGGGGTATCGCCAATAATTGGAACATACTTTCTACATTACAAGCATTCGGTACGTCTGGGCCCGGGGGATTCGAGGGTGTCAAAACCAGCTTGAATACCTCAGTTTTTGTAAAAATCGGGTTTGTATCTGTAGACTACAATGTTTTCTATCGAAATACCAATTTATGGCTGTTTCGGGTAGTATTTGCAAAAGAGTTAGACAGCTCGGAATGTAGGGTATCGCCAATAGTAAGCGTTCGCATTACGTATAGGCCAGGTGTTTGAGTGTATGAAAACCAGCTTGAATACATCAGTTTTGTGAAAATCGGGTTTGTATCTGTAGACTACAATGTTTTCTACCGAAATACCAATTTATGAACCTTTCGGATAGTATTTGCAAGAGTTAGACAGCTCGGAATGTAGGGGGTATCGCCAATACATTAGTAGCGTTCGGTACGTATAGGCCAGGTGTTCGAGTGTATGAAAACCAGCTTGAATACATCAGTTTTGTGAAAATCGTGTTTGTATCTGTAGACTACAATGTTTTCTATCGAAATTCGAATTTATGGCTGTTTCGGGTAGTATTTGCAAGAATTAGACACCTCGGAATGAAGGGGTATCGCCAATAATTGGAACATACTTTCTACATTACAAGCATTCGGTACGTCTGGGCCCGGGATTTGAGGGTGTCAAAACAGCTTGAATACCTCAGTTTTGTACAAATCGGGTTTGTATCTGTAGACTACAATGTTTTCTATCGAAATACCAATTTATGGCTGTTAATTTTTTTTTTCTTCAGAAATTTCTGGCAGAAATTTTTTTTTTCTGCAGAAATTTTTTGGCAGAAAAGATTTATAATATGGTCTGTGTGCCTCTGTTGCTTCTATAATCACTCTATTTGGACAATGGAACACTGAATTGTATATGGAAGATGTATAAACCTTGAAACCACATTAAGCAGAGCCTTCATTATTGTACACCAACACACCTTAAAATTATCTAAATGAATTGCTCTTTGTGAGATTTTACTTGAAATTATCTAATTGCAGTGTGCAAGTAGATGTGACTTTCAAAAATGTAACAGCCTTTCATGAGGCTAGCCAAATATAAGAAATCCAACAATTCAATCAAGATGAGATATACTATCATAGAAAGCAGATTTAACATCAGACAGTGGAAAAATAACACAAACAAGGTCATATAACACAACTGCATGTATTGTTTCATAAATGCCATAGACCATATTACAGTTACACGTGCTGTACATATACAAATATATATTCCAAAACACAAAACATACACTTTGGTTATTTGCTTTTTCTTTAAGGCAGACTGGTTGTAACAAAAGAACAAAAAGTTTAAAAATTTGACAAATTATAACAAGAACAACATGTAAATAATGAAACTTATATATCCTAGGTGAGGGACATACCACATAAAAACTACAAAGGTTTCTTGTGCAGATGTCGGTATCATTGTGACATCTTCAAAAAACGTTTCAACCAAAGCAGTTATTTCATCATTATTCTAGATCTGAATATCCAAAGAAGATTATAGCAAATGTTTAATGTCATCGAAAGAATGGATGAAAGTAGAATTATATCTGTGACAATTTTGACAATACTGTCTTACAAGAGAGACCTAATGAGATGTTTACATCTTAAAACTAAACAGCTTTTTGTGATAGGTTTCGTTGCATTCAAAACATTACATCAATCACATATTCAATTTATACCTCAATTATAACACAGTTTGATCAATAAGTACATCAAAACACATGACAATTCCAAGAAAAGAAGGAATTTTCTAACCATCTTAGGGGACCATTATGTTTTTAACTATTGTTACTTAGACAGGGATATTTACAAGGAGAATAATCAATTTCAGATTTAACAACAGTTCCAACAAGAGTCATCAAAACATGACACAATCCCCCCGCCCCACATATTTGAAAGAACAAATCATCTGGCAGTTACTTAAAGTCCAACTTGATATCTTTTTAGACTAAGTCCAAATCGCTTCCATGGAAATCATGAAAATATAAATGCCAAAAAATCTGCAAATAGCAAAAGGCACCACTTCAAGATCTGTTTGATGTGTCTGCCAAGTCTTGTAGAAAGATAATGAAACGTTTTCAAATTGAAACCCACCCTCCCTTTATGAAACTAAGTCTGAATCGTTTCCATGGAGCCAGGAAAAATAAAAGTGCCAAAATCTGCAAAATAGCTATGTCTGTATGTCTCATACATCTGCTAAGTTCTGCTGAAAGATATTGAAAAGTTTTCGACTTGTGACATGGAAACTAAAACGAAAGCCATCCCTCCCAAATAGTTTCCAAAATCTACTTAAATTTAATTTGTGCAAACGATTGACAGTGAGGCATAAGCAAATTTAGCTTGTGATTATACAAAGAAAAAATGTTCAGTGCATATATATACATCGCATATACATATTTACATCAGTGTCACAATCAGGCCACCATCTCAGGGTTCCGCTGAGGCTTGTCTTCTGTGCTTTGTAAGTGATACCTGAAAAGGAAAAGGAAAGGATAATAAGAACTGACATACAAAGATAAGTGAAAACAGTAAAAAGCTTAAATCGGTATTCATCTTGATGTCTGGATGTTTTATACATTCAATGCTCTCTAATGCTGTATAACAGATGACAATATAATATTTTGTTAACAATTGGAACTCAATGAAAATACCTTTGATTGCCTCTGCATTTTTTTCATTGCTTCGCTCTATTGCCTCTCTTGTACATTTCTTGGGAGGGTGTTCTCTTCCCTTGGGGCAGGCATGAAGGGCTTGAAGTCAGACAGCTTGATGGCCGGAGTGTGAATGTCCCCCATCTTTCTAATGTAGGACACCCACCACAAGCCTTCCTCTTCAGACAGCCTGGTAGATGACACCCATTTGGCCAAGTCTCTCCCCATGGCTTTACAGGTGTCATCTACCTTTTCCTTGTCCAGAGTGACAGGTGTGAGTGTTGACAGGTCAACCTTTGAAATCCAATGACACCTTTCTGTAGGTTTTCACTTTTCAGGGGTCAATCTTTATAAAGCATGGAGACCGAGGACCCCTCCATTCTGAACACAAACACATGTGCCTCCTTGTGTCCTTTAGGTGAATCACAGTTGATAAACAACTGCCTCATGTCCCAAACACCATCCAGTACAGTAGCAGTGGGCTTTGGTCGTTACTGCTGGCAAGGACTTGCAGGAGAGCATCACGTGTTGCAGCAGGTTTCTGTCTCAGCTCCCTTGCAAACACGCTGAACAGCTGGTCCACATCTTCATGTGTGGCCCACCATGAGAAATGAAAGTTTCACCTGGAAAAGAGTATCACTATTAAAACACACATTCAATTATTTGATTATTTGAACATCCTGAGATTCTAATAAAGAATGTTAAAGATCCCCTTAATGACCCTCAATTGCATGCATTCCCACACTGTTTCTGTAAATATGTTGCAAACACATACCTTTTGAAGATTTTCAATTTGACTAACAATGCCAAAAAATATAGTACGGTCTTGTTCTTGTTATCTTTATGAATTGTCTGTTTGTAAATACAGCGTTTCTGGTAGACGCCCATGGTTCAGCTGAAATAGTAGTTTTTAGTAAATGAATTAAATACTATTTCATAGCATTTGTGCAGGAACAAATTTGAAACAAATCAACTTAATGTTTCGTGATTAATTAGGCAATGACTCATATTGAAAATATATAGTAGTGTTACCTGTGCAATTCTACTGAGGACATACAGAAGCACTGTACAAGTTACATTTGCATCGCCTGGAATACATGTATTCCAGACAACAGCATGGGTTGCTCGGTTTCCATGATCCACAACACCTGTCACGTGGTGCTTGACATGTGCAAGGCTGCCATCAATCTGAAATGTTTGAAGATTATTGTATTTTAATTAATACCTGTCAAAAATCTTCAGGAAAATATATCAACATTCATTACACAAGATAAGTACATGAATTAGGACAAATTCATGATATTCAGCTTTTGAAATATGAGTTTCAACTGTTCAATGGTTTGAGGAGCCTGTGATTCAATATGTAATCATCACACATGTGTACCTTTGATTGTTCTGGAAATACAGGAAGGTTTGTCTTGTTTTGGTCCATGTTGTCAATGATGAGGGACACATACTTGGATGGTGACCTCTTTGCCTTGTCCCCATGTTTATAATACTTCTCTCGAAGTAGCCTGCAAACACAAAACATTTAAAATAGGAAAACAATATACTTACATACATACACTGAACCTGTAAACAACCACAAAGCAGTGAGTGGCCCTTTGTGAGTTGCTATATTATTCATGTTAATATCTCATGATGCAAAATCCATTTTCAAACTACATTTTCATTAACTTCATTCATTATTACAGAAATAACAAACCTTTGCAAAGCTAAGTGTCCCTGTTTTTTGCTTCTTTCAAGGCCTTGACTTCTTCCTTTGCCAAGTTCTTTCTTTGTAGTGCATCTCTATACACGATGCATAGAGAGCATTGTGTGAAATCCTTTGACTGGAACAGATGTAAACAATTTCAACATCATCATGATTTTGTATTTATTCATAACACTTGTCAATTTCATCTTTCAAGCTGTGAGAACACTCTACTGAAAAATTACAGGGGTATCACAGTAGTTTATATAATTGTAGTAACATGAAACAATTATGTTGACAACTTGGTACTTGGTATACCCTACTTACCTTCAGTATTTTCACGGATGAGAAGAACTCTCTCCAGAGCTCCTTAAAACGGCTATACCCCATCACCGGCTTGCCCTGATCATTGTTATCTTCAACATAGGCATCAAAGATTTGCCTCTTTGTAAGGCAAGACGGCAGCTGGATTTCAGTCTTGTGCGGCATGTGGTCTCCATGTCTGAAAACAAACAAACAAAAATATTTTGTCTGTCTACATTGATCAGTGATTTCACACTGTGATTTCAAGGACAGAGACGAGCAGCGGATTACTTAAGACCCTTGGAAATGGATGGGGCAAAGGAAGAAGAGGAGCTATCTTAGACAGTTTGCACTGATATGAAAACAAAGCTATCAACATCAGTATATTCAGTATATTAGATGCTGTGTCATACAAAGAATAACCACCAATAATAATAAAGATGATATGATGATGCTTTAGAAATGTACATGCAAACCTACCTTTTGAAATACTGATCCGGCCACACTTTTGCCTCCAGGTACTTCAGGGAATCATAGTTCTGATCACATCTTTGATCAACCTTTTGTGGTAGGCAGTCCTTCACAGCTCTCCCATGATGAAAATATCTAAAAATAAATTTCATTATATATCACAACATTGTACTTAACACAATTCCTACATACACAAATAGGATGAAAAAAGATTCCGTAAACCCACTTCTGAAAGAAATTTACGAAAGATCTGTCTTTTCTTCACCTTTACAAGATTACCTCAACAATTATGCCTAACTTACCTGGTTTTACTGATCTTGAATACAGTACACCAACAAACACTGCAAACTTCATGGCCTTCAAGGGTGAAGAGAACATCTGACAGTCTTTGTTCCTGATATCTGAAGACTGCTCTCAAATTACTGTTGATGAAGTGGCTCTGTTTGGTTTGTGTCTTCCTCCAAAACGACAATCTCAATTGGTGGATAACTTCAAAAGACAGTTTCTTCATGCACTCTTTCACACAGCACTTGGTCACCAAAGCTTCTTTTATGTCTTGTGATATTAATGCCTTCTGTTCTCGTTGTCCACATCTCTTTGACCTCTCCCCTGCAAAACATTTTCAATCATAACTATATCTGAAGCAATATCTAGGCTGATGTCCTTGAACTTCCAGTGCATTATGTTTCCCTTCAAATATCATAAATGACCCTGACTCCCCAACATGGCATACGTTACAGATAATACCTCAAATCAGTGATTATGTGCAATCCATTTTCATTGAATTTATACTGTCAAGAAATATACATATTCTTTATTGCATATACATGATCACCATATGTCAGACCAGAAACTGCTTCATTTGTGGCTGCCTAGAAGAATTAATCTCTAGTTTTGAGTAATGAGACAGAAATGTTTTCCAAGAAAAACATATACATGTTTGTAGCCAGGTTGATGGAGCAGTTAGCTACAATGCAGTTAATAAAAACTAAAGAGAGACATAATCAGTCTCATTTTATCAATCCTTGCGCATGAGTTAGTATGGATCATTTGAGAAATTTTAAAAACTCCCGAAAATGTTAACAATTGTCAAAAATACATCTGTTCTAATTTAGGAAATCTGGAAACAACTTTAAATGAAGCACTTTCCAGGATTAATCTTAAAAAATC